TTTTTGAGATGGAGTCTTGCGCTATTGCCCAGGCTGGAATGCAGTGGTTTGATCTCAGCCCAGGTTCAAGCGATTCTCCTGCCTCACCCTCCCAAGTAGCTGCCACTACAGGCACATGCCACATTGCTCAGCTAATTTTTGTATTTTTAGTAGAGATGGGTTTCACCATATTGGCCAGGATGCTCTTGACCCCGTGATCCATCTGCCTCGGCCTCCTAAAGTGCTAGGATTACAGGCGTGAGCCACTGCGCCCAGCCCAGCCTTACATTCTTAAGAGCTATATTGATCTCAGTTAAGTCACAAATTCTCTGTGCATAAGTCTGATCATATGATGAAGATTGAGGGAACCAAATCAAACTTTTGGGCTAGGAGTCAAAATAAATTCACTAGACTATGCAGTAGCGCTGTTCCTGTATAAGACAAGCAGCTAGAGTGCAGTGGTATAATCATGCCTCACTGCAGCCTCAAACTCCTGGGCTCAAGTGGTCCTCCCACCTCAGCCTCCAAAGTAGCTATGACTACAGGTACATGCCACCATGCCCAGCTAATTTTTTTTTTAAATTTTTTGTAAAGGCAGTCTCCAGCAGGCTGGTCTCAAACTCCTGGGCTCAAGCAATCCTCCCACCTTGACCTCTCAAACTGCTGGGATTACAGGCGTATACCACCATGCCCAGCTGAGCAGCTAATATTTAGCAGGGACTGATTATTTGCCAAAAGCTCTTCTAAGCACCTCCTATGGATTATCCCATTTAATCCTGAATAACTCTCATGAAATTGATTATTTTTTTAAGAGATGGGGGGGGAGGTCTTGCTCTGTTGCCTGGAGAACCATGATGAACAAAGCAGCCTGAACCTCCCAAGCTCCAGCAATCCTCCTGCCTCTCAGCCTTTCGAGTAGCTGGGACTACAGACATGTGCCACCATGTCTGGCCAATTCTTATTTTTTGTGTAAGCAGAGTCTTGCCATGTTGCCCAGGCTGGTTTCAAACTCCCAGCCTCAAGTGATCTGCCCACCTTAGCCTCCCAAAGTGCTGGGATTATGGGCATCAGCCACCACGCTCAGCCTCTTGTAACTGTTTTCAAGGAAACCAATATTCCAAAGATACTAGTCAAGAAGCCATGATAAACTATGGATGTTAGTAGTAATTACTCAATACTTTAGGATTAGAGCAGGCTAGGTTTTATAATAAAGAGGAAATATGAAAACAGATTATTTCTAAAATAGTACCACAAAAGAAAGAAAAAAAATCTAGATTTCTAAAAACATGATTGGAAACGCTGGCACTGTGAATTGATAGAATTCAACTAAAGGCTGCTGGTTCAAAGAATTTGAGTCGCCAAATTTTCCCCTATGGATAAACATTCAATATCCACTGTGACATTTTATGCCACTTCCTAGATTAAAAGTCTTTTGTTAATTCTATGAAAATAAATGAACACCTAGATTGTTTACATTCCAGGTATCTGCCACTAGGGGAACAGATCAGAGAAGAGCAACTTAAGCACAACATATAAGCTTTATTCAGACCTGCAAAACAATGAAATTTGACACATTCTCCATACAAAATATGCCTAAGGGAAAAAACTGCATTCATTGGAAAAACCACAGTACATATTATTATTTTTTTTTTTTAAATTAGAATCACTATGCCAGTTAGAGTAAGTTTAAAGGTTGTGGGTGGCACTCCTATTCACTACTATCAGGGCTTTATCCAACAATAGAATATCAATGTAAAAGCTTTTAAGAAAATAATCATATTTCAAAATTATGCCCATCTTTTGACCCAATAGTTCCACTTCTAGAAAATTTATCCAAAATAAATAAGCGTGCAAATATGTGAGTATAGGCTGGGTGCAGTGGCTCTGCCTGTAATCCCAGCACTTTGGGAGGCCAACGCGGGAGGATCACATGAGGCCAGGCATAAGAGACTAGCCTGGCCAATGTGGCAAAACCCTGTGTCTACTAAAAATACAAAAATTAGCCAGGTGTGGTGGTGCATGCCTGTAAATTCCAGCTACCTGGGGGGCTGAAGCACCAGAATCACTTGAACCTGGGAGGCAGAGTTAGAGTTGATATGGACAGGAGGTAGAGAAATATGGGGTAGAAGAGGGCAGTTCCCCGGGAAAGGCCCCACCCTCAAGCTGGAAAGCTGAGGTCCTAAATGGGAACAAGCATTTCTGTTTTTGAACCCAAATGTTGCCTTTGGGCCCACCATGCCCCCTTATCCTGTTCCCACAGAAACCCCAAACCCAGCAGAAGAACAGAAGAGCAGCAGAATGTCATGGCAGAGGAGAAGAGAAGGAGCATGTGAACACTGAAAGGAGTTTGGCTGGGGACAGTTGGAGAGGAGATCTCGGGATGGCCAAATTCCAGACGAAGATCATCTACCCACTCCATCCCCTTTTCAGCTCCCCATCCATCTTGCTGAGCACCACCTCCACCACTCAACAAAACCCCTGCATTTACCACCCTTCAAGTCCGTGTGTGACCTTATTCTTCCTGGATGACAGACAAGGACTCAGGTAACAAGACAGCAGTGTAAAACGCTGTCACCCTGACTTTCCACTGAGCTAGTGGAATGCTTAGTCGTCTGTAGATGGCAACTGCTAAAAGAGCATTAATTGTAACACACCCCTAGATGCTACCATGGGGCTGGAGCCCAAAAGCACTCTCCCTGGCTCCTGAACCTGCCCGTATACATGCTCCCCCTCCTGTAAGGGGTTTGAGCAAGGGGCAGCTGAGCCACACCCCTGTCACAAGTCCCACAAGGGGGTCAGGAAACTCTCCCGTTTCACAGTGAGTCAAGATCGCACCACTGCACTCCAGCCTGGGCAACAAAGTGAGACTCTGTCTCAAAAACAAAAAAAAAAGTAAAGCGTATGGTGGTTATTCAGATTAAACATAGAATCACCATATATTCCAGCAATTCAATTTCTATATACCCAGAAGAACTGAAAGCAGAGATTCAAACAGATATTTGTACACCAATGTTCAACGCAGCATTATTCACAGTAGCCAAAAGATGGAAACAACCTAAGTGTCTACCAATGGATGAATGTCTAAACAAAATGTAGTCTGTACATACAATGGAATAGTCAGCCTTCAGAAATAATGAAATTCTTTGGCACCACTGAGTCTTCAAAAAAAAAAAGAAAAAGAAAATGAAATTCTGACACTGCAACAAAGATGAACCTTTAACATTATACTAAGTGAAATATGCCAGACAGGCACAAAAAATAAATATTGTATGATTCCATGTATATGAGAAAACCAGAGTAGTCAACATCATACAGATGAAATGGAGAATGGTGGTTTCATGGGTTGGAGAAAAGTGATGTATAGAGAATTGTTTAATGGGCACAGAGTTTCAGTTTGTAAAATAGAAAGGTTCTGGGATGTACAGTGGTGACGGTTGCACAATAATAAACATACTGAATGCCACTGAACTGTACACTTAAAAACAGTTAAAATAGTAATTTTGGCTGGCACAATGGCTCACACCTGTAATCCCAGCATTTTGGGAGGCTGAAGGGGAAGGGTCACCTGAGGTTGGGAGTTTGAGATCAGCCTGACCAACGTGGAGAAACTCCATCTCTACTGAAAATACAAAATTAGCCATGGATGGTGGCACATGCCTATAATCCCAGCTACTCAGGATGGTAAGGCAGGAGAATCACTTGAACCCGGGAGGTAGAGGTTGCAGTGAGCCGAGATCGCACCATCACATCCAGCCTGGATAACAAGAGTGAAAACCGCTTCATTGTTAGGCCAGGCACAATGGCTCACACCTGTAATCCCACACTTTGGGAGACCAAGGGAGTCTAGAAGTCTGGCTGACATGGCAAAACCTTGTCTCTACAAAATATACAAAAATTAGCCAAGTGTCATGGCACATGTCTGTAATCCTGGCTACTTGGGAGGCTGAGGCACAAGAACTGCTTGAACCTGGGAGGCAGAGGTTGCAGCGAGCCGAGATCGTACCATATTATTATGGAAATAGACACTTGCACTTATACACAGAAATCACCGCAAATATGGCTGCACTCTAGATCGGGTGACAGAGCCAGACCTTGTCTCAAGAAAAAATAAAATTCATTATTGCAGAGAAACTTTTGTATTAATACATGTGTACCTGAAGACATAAGCAAGAATATATTTGTAATAGCACCAAAATGGGGGAAAAAAATCCATCTTTAGGAGAAAAGAAAATTGTGGCATAGTCATAATATTAATACAAGTATCTGAGAAAATGCACAACAGTGCATTAACCTGAAATAAAATGCAAATAGATAACCTACCTTTTCTCAGTTTTTGGAAATTAATATACTGCCTAAAGTAATAAAAAAAAAAAAAAAAGTAATCTTTTTTTGAGACCAAGTCTCACTCTGTTACCCAGGCTGGAGTGTAATGGCGTAATCTCGGCTCACTCCAACTTCCACCACCCAGGCTTAAGTGATTCTCCTGCCTCCGTCTCCCAAGTAGCTGGGATTACAGGCACGCACCACTGCACCCTGCTAATTTTTGTATTTTTAGTACAGATGGGGTTTCACCGTGTTGCTCAGGCTGGTCTTGAACTCCTGACCTCAGGTGATCTTCCCACCTCGATCTCCCAAAATGCTGGGATTACAGGCGTGAGCCACTATGCCTGGCCAGGAAAGTAATTTTTAATAAAATATTTTAATATGCAAATGCTAGAT